AATAAACATAAATGAACTTTGAAAATATTTAAATATAAAAAACTGACAAAATAAGCGAAGTTGTTTCTATTACATAATCATTCAACACAAGATAATAAAAGTTGTTCATAAGCATTTCACAAAATATTAAAACGATGTTCAACAACATTTAAGAAACCATTTAAAACTTGTTTCGCAAAATCATCTTACATGTACTTCAAATCCATTCATCTTCAACACAAACTGTTCTATGGCATCACACTTCAACATTCTTTCATCTTCACAAGCAATCATCAATATTATTTTAACCTTTTTTGAATTGTTTGCATAGCCTTGTATGCATGATCAGTACGCACTTTGAATTCAACTTTTTGATATTTTTCAGCAAGATCCAACACCTTAGCCTTCAACATGTTGATTTCAGAAGTTAGCATTATGTGTGCATATCTTTGCCTGAGCTTCTCTAAAGTAGTTTGTTGAACTGCACTTTCTTTATGAAGACCTGGTTTCCACTTTGAGAGTGGTTGTCCCATATAGGTCTCCATATGTCTCATTGCAAAGACCCCACAATCAACTTTGTTTTTAACTGTTCTCCATGACATTTCAAGTTGCTGGGGTTTGATACTTTCTTTTGAGATTGCATTTGCTCTTGGATGGTTTATTTCTTTAAAGTATCTCACAAACAAATTTTTCTGATCATTAAATAAAATAAAAGTTAGATATGTAATAAATTGGTTCTTTTATGTTGTTGTCAACTGGGTATATACCAAAGGTTTCAATATTACTCCGTATTTCCCTTCATAATCCCCCTCAACTGCACTATTGTCTAGAATTTCAATTGACCGTTTCTTTAAGTTGAAGACAATCACAAAAATGTGAGCACTTCTAACAACTGGAAAGAATACCTGTTTTTATGTATATAATGGTAAGTATTTTGTTATATATGTAAAAAAACAACTTTAATTAACATACCATGTCAATATCTTTTATGTTCAAGATTTTTTTGTACCCATTGGTACTGTCATGAAAGTTCTCCTTGAATTTTTCATACTTTCTTTCATCAGACAATGTTGAAGTTAGATAAGCAGTCTGCAACCAGTATAATCATATGTGAATTTCAGTTGAATATATATAATTATGTTAAAGAATACATCATATTTGTATAATCATATGTGAATTTAAGTTGTAAAAAATATAATATTCATAAATGAATACATCATATTGGTGTATTCATTTATGAATAAGGAAAGAATTAAGGTTAGAACATAAACTTACAGAAACTCCAACTTTCAAGAAGAGTCCGTATGGTGAATTTCCAAAATCCCTTTCCAGTTCTTGGTGGTTAAGTAAATCAGACCAAGTGTCTAAAACTTCTCCAAAAATCTCTGTGTTTGCATATAGACTTTCCATAACTGCTCTTTCTGCTATCTAACCATATTTTGTCTGGACAACCACATCTCTGCAAATATATAATCAAAATGTCATAGATTATTATCTATATAATAATCATATATGAATGTATATAAAATAAAGTTACTTACGATGTATTGCCTTGTAATTTGAACAACCATTCACAGACAATACTCTCATGATGTGTCAGTTTGGGTTTTGTGTCTGTTATTCTGCGTTTAAAAGGTGATTTGAAAGCATCAGCAAGCTTCTTCTCTCTTGGTTGATCCAGATCATGCTTTGATGGTCCTACTTTAGTAGGAATTGATACAGAGATTGGATTTGGATTAAGAACATTTTTCTTTGCTAATTTGATAACAACCTTCTGATGGTCGTCTTTTATTTGTTTCTTTGTAAGTGTTTTTTTTGGTGAAGATTCATTAGATTTTTTACTTGAAGTTTGATCTGAATCTTGACTGATACCTAGACTAAAGTTTGGATGAGTATCTGCATGCCAGGAGATTTATCATATAAATAGTTTTAAGTTAATTATAATATGTGAGTTTATATTTTGAAATGTTTATCAAAATTGTTACCTCCTTTATTTCCTTTTGTCTTGTCAGCTTTTTCTCTTTTCTTGTTTTGATTTTCTGACTTTTTCTTTCCTGCAAGATAAAGAACTGTGATTAAGTAATTCATATGTGAATAAGTAATGTATTCATTTATGAATAAGTAATACATATCATTATTTATGAATAAGTAATACTATATTTTTTTTATGTATTCATATATTGTGTTATTCATTTATGAATAATAAAACTTACTATATTTATTTATTTGTGAATCAACTATTTACCTCTATTTTCTGCATTTCCTTTTTCAATTTCTGTTTGTTTTTCTTCACCTCCATCTTTCTTGTTCTTATCTTGTGTTCCTCCTTCATTTCTATCTTCAGAGTTTTCCTTGCCTGAAACATATACATCATATATGAATATTTTTTATTTTTTATTCATTTATATAGTGTATTATTCACTTATGAATAAACAATGTTATTAAAATATCAATATAAATATTGTAGTATATTTTAAATCATTTATTTACCTGTATCATCTCCCTTTGTTTTTTCAACTTTTGTTCCTTGTTCATGTACACCTTCTGATTTTTCCTTTTCTACAAGAGTATTAGTTTTACCTGTACTCATTGGTGACCCTGGTCAAAATTAAACAAACAAAATTGTTATTGTGTATTGATATTTTTATATATTTTTTTAAAATAAAAGTAAGAAAAAATTTACCTATATCAATATTATCGAAAATAGTTTTCATTTCAGGGTGATTCCAGATTTCATCTTCTTGACTATTTAAATTTAAAACTCCAATTCCAAGGACATTGTCCACAACTTTATCCAACAAATTTTCATTTTCAGTTTGTTGAATAGTCTCTTCATGATTATTTGTTTCCTCAACATGATCATCTTTTTCCTCTTCATCATTCTGATTTTCATTCCTCTTTCCATCTTTCTTTTTTACTCCAATTTCACCTTCTTTTTTATTCTTATATGCATCATTCTTTATTCCTTCATTATCTGCTTCATTTGAATTAAGCAAATAATCTACTTCTGGTTGACTTGCACCATTATCACTGTCTTCTTCACCATTTCCCTCTTTATCTTCATTTTCTGTTTGATCATTTGTTTTTTGACCCATTATTGGTGTCGAATTGAATCCTTCAACTCCAGTTTCATTAATTGGAAAATTAAAAAGTGTTATGCTTTCAGTTTTTTCTTCAAAAATCATATTTGTCATCGTTTCTTTGAAAATTCTAAAACTTTCCTTTTCAGGGAACTTTGTCATCGCATCATTAAGCTTTGAATTCAACTTTTCCTTCATCCTCTCAAAACTATTAAGCATTTTTGATATTTTTGATTCATATGCCTATGTAACAAAAAGAAGTATATGATTAGAATTTAATATAATAATTTAATGTAATCATATATTATTAACATGTTAAAACTAATTACCTCAACAGAATGATCTTCATCTTTATCAGAATCACTGTCTTCGATATCTGTATCTCCTTCATTTTGTTCATTAACAAATTCTTCGTTTAATTCTCCAACTCCAAATCTACCTTTTCTTGTTCAAATGTCTCTCGATATCTAATCTTCTCTGAACTCCAATAACAAATTGTTGGACGTTTACGTGTTACTGTTAAAGCTTCCGAGTGGATGTTATCAGCATAGAACAACTGCACATAAATGATAACTAATTGATATTCATATATGAACAAGTAATATTATTTTTTACTTATTCTTAAATGAATAAGTAATGTAAAGCATTATGTGTGAACAAATATATTTTTCTTATTCATATATGAATATTTGCTATTAGTTTATGAATAATCAATATTATTAAAAATTGAATATAAACATTATAATAACTTACCACCAAGAAAGCTAAAGGTCCAACAAAGAAGCTGTTATTTGAGTATGGTATGTATGTGTTTTTAGTTCTAACAAGACAGTCCAAAACATAGCTGCACTAGTCTATGTTGCTGATATATGTTTTTCTTGAAATATAACTCAAGGGAAAGGGGTTGCATCTTCCCATTGATGTTGACTCGTAAAAAGTGTTGACAAAAAGAACTAAGAAGTTTAATTTGAAATTGAAATCAACTTGTGTGATAGGAACAATAACATTTTTTATTGCACTCAATCGGATGATTGAATCTTTTTTAAATTGTTGCTTCCATTCTTCATAACTTGTATCATCCTTAGGCCATTGATCTAGTTGTGTAAGTTTGTTTCCACCAATTGGTATGCCCAACATGTCATGAACAGACTCTGCTATTACTTTCAATTCCTTTCCTTCAATATCTATCACCGTTCTCTCAAAATCAAATTTTTGAAGAACATAAAATCTCAGCTTCAGTGGTATATCCGTGATTTTCATTTTTAACAAAGCTCCAAAACCCATAGATCTCACAGATTGTTTTTTTCTTTGCTCATCCCAAGGATTATAAATAGTAATGCCTCTGGTGAACATATGTTTTTCATTGAGTAAAATTCTTTTACAATTGATTTTTTTTTTGTCTTTTTTGATTGGTGACTCCTTTTTTTTTTACCTTCTTCGATGGATGACTACTTTCAAAATCAGAGTCTGAATCTTGTAGTTGTTGTTTTTCAGGAGTTTTCCTTTTTGATGGACTTTTCCTACTTTGATGCTTTATTTTCTTTGGTACTTTTGTTTCTTTTTTATCTGGGAAATGAAAACATATAATATTTGAATAAGTTACTGATATATGAATATGATATATGCTCGTTGATTTATTAATATTTATTTATTACAAAAATATAACTAATATATACAATTTTATTATATATGAATATATTAGATATGATAGGAATTTTGTACCTTTTTCATTTTTCCTCTTCTACATTGATCTTGTTTCTCTCATTATTGGTGAATCTTTATCGGAAATGCTAGTGTTCTTACCTTCATTCAATAGTAAGTAGAAGATAAATGAGTTTGATATTCACGAATGGATATTTGAATAAAACATATGTATTCATATTTTTTTATTCACGTATGAATATGTTTTCTTATATTCATATGTGAATAGAACATATATAAGTCATTATTGTTGTATTCACATATGAATAATGTATGTATGGAAGCAAGTTAAGTTTTATTCATATGTGAATATAGCATACATATTCATGAATGGATATTTGAATAAAACATATGTATTCATATTTTTGTATTCACATATGAATATGTTTTGTTATATTCATATGTGAATAGAACATATATAAGTCAGTATTGTTGTATTCACATATGAATAATGTATGTATGGCTGCAAGTTATCTTCTATTCATATGTGAATATAACATACATATTCATGACTGAATATTTGAATAAAACATATGTATTCATATTTTTTTATTCACATATGAATATGTTTTGTTATATTCATATGTGAATAGAACATATGTAAGTGATTCTTGTTGTATTCACATTTGAATAATGTATGTATGGCAGCAAGCTATGTTCTATCCATATGTGAATATAACATACATATTCACGACTGAATATTCGAATAAAACATATGTATTCATATTATTTTATTCACATATGAATATGTTTTAATATATTCATATGTGAATAGAACATATATAAGTCATTCTTGTTGTATTCACATTTGAATAATGTATGTATGGTAGAAAGTTATGTTTTATTCATATGTGAATGTAACATACATATTCACGACTGAATATTCAAATAAAATATATGTATTCATATTTTTTTATTATCATATGAATATGTTTTGTTATATTCATATGTGAATAGAACATATATAAGTCATTCATGTTGTATTCACATATGAATAATGTATGTATGGAAGCAAGTTTTGTTCTATGTGAATATAACATACATATTCTTGAATGAATATTTGAATAAAACATATGTATTCATATTTTCTTTATTCACATATGAATATGTTTTGTTATATTCATATGTGAATAGAACATATGTAAGTAATTCTTGTTGTATTCACATATGAATAATGTATGTATGGCAGCAAGCTATACATATTCACGAATGAATATTAGTTTTGCTTGTGTTCAGAAGTAAACAAAACATATTTTATTTACCTTTTTGATTTGTTCTTGGTTTTCGTTTATATGTATTCTTCACTGTTGGTGTCGTTTTCGTAAGGGTAAGTAGTTAATATTAAGAAAACATAAGCAGAATGTTAAGTAACGTTTGTATTTTGATAGAATAGTTTTGAATAAAGATGAAAAATGAAGAGATGATGTAAAATCATTTATATATCAAATAATAATGGATGATTCTTACAAAAAATTCAAGTAAATAAAGTAATAACGAAAGAGGGTTACGAGAATGAACGAGTATCATAAATTTCAAGTAAAATTGAAGTAAACAACCTTTTTTGAAGGATGAACAGTGTGAAAACAAATTTTTTAGTTCTAAATCAACTAATAATTTTCGAACATTACGAGAAATTTCAAGTAATCAAGTGATAATTTTAGAAATAATTCGAAATCGTTAAAAAATCAAGAAAAAACGCCGATGGTTACCTTTCATTGTCAAGAGTGAGGAAATGGTCTCATTCATGTTTTCATCGGAAGACATTTTTCTTCGTTTATGTTATTTGATGCTTCTGCAAATGTGTTTCTTCTTGTCGATCTTCTTCAAATGGTTTTCGAGTTATGGTGTATCGAAGCGGGAAATTGTGCTTTTCTATCGAGATTTGATGTGATATCAAATTCCTCAAGTGCCTTGACGGTTTAATGTTTTTTGATTATTTACAAATTTGTCATCGCTCATTAATGTATTTGGATTATTTACAAGTTTGTCACCGTGCGTTTTTTAAGCTCATTAAATGATTGGCTAAGAATGGTTCCCCCATTCTCAACCTTTTTTTCTCAATTGAACCCTCCTATATATATATATATATATATATATATATATATATATATATATATATATATATATATATATATATATATATATATATATATATATATAAAGGTTCAAATGAGAACCACTAAAGGTTAAGAACCTAAGAACCACTCATATCATATATGTTAGATCTGATACCATATCTTCATTATTCCCCCAAGACAAAATAAGTATCCTCTCACCTCCTTCAACCATCTCCGATGAACACCACCACATCCACCATTGTCGACAGCCGCCTCACCACTGTTACCGCGGACGACGACACCTCCACGTCGCAGCCTCCGACCATCGGCGATAACACTTAAATACGTCATCGAAGTTTCAAATCTAGAACCCTCCTCTTTGTAGATGTTGTGGTGAACCGCCACAGTCATCGTTGTGTCCTCCTTCAATGACATATCTGCTCCGACGAGCCACCACTTTTTCTTCATATCTGCTCTAGACAGCCGCCAATACCACCAGATTTTCACTAAAATATGGTAGATCTTGAATATATCAAATCTGGATCACGTCCTCATCTCGCCAATGAAATTAGATATAAGATTTCTGCCAGATCTCTTCCCCTTCTTCTCCTCAGGCGACTTCTTTCATCGTTGCCAGATCTTTTCCGACTACTGTTTACGCGCCTCGGTGAGTTCAACATGACTATGTGTGCTTTTTGGTCACGAGTTCCGGTAGAGATATGTTCCGGAAATCATTTCATGTGGTTTTCAAGCGTTATCGTTAAAAACAAAAGGTTAGAAGTGATTTTCCGGTAATGTTATATTAAGCTGTGAATTTTGTGTATTAAACCGTGAATTTGTTATATTAAGCTGTGAATTTTGGGTATTAAACAGTGAATTAAATGTATTATACTTGTAAATGAGCTATGGATATATTGTATTAAATTGCAATTTTTATATTTTAAGTTATATTAAATTCACAAATTAATACATAAACATGCTTCCATATATGAACGTATAAATGTAAACTTTAATTTGATAATATGGATGTGAATATATAGTTTTTATGTATTAATCTGTGAATTTTATGTATTAAACTTATGATTGATTGTATTAATAGTTTTAAGTTGATAATATGACTGTGAATTTTATACTTTTTGTTTATTAAGTTGTCAATTTATTGTAATAATTTGTAAATTTTATGTATTAAGCTATGATTTCTGTGTTTTCAACTGTGAATTAACTACATTAAGTTGTGAATTTTTAGTTTAAACTGTGAATTGACTAAATTAAGCTTCTAATTTTGTGTATTAAACTGTGATTTATGTGTACAAGACTATAAATTGACCGCGTTAAGCTATGAATTTTCTGTTTAAACTATGAATTAATTATATTAAGTTGTGAATTGTATGTATTAAACGGTAATTGATTATATTAACCTGTGAACTAATATCTAAAAGTGTAAATGTAAGTTTTAAGTTAAGAATATGACATTTCAGTGTATCAAATTGTTAATTTAATATATTAAGCTGTGAATTTTATATATTAAACTTTAATTGGTTATATTAACTTGTGAACTGATTGCAACTTTAAGTGATTTTTTTTATAAATTTTGTGTTAAAACATGAATGATTTATGAATGAACTTTTGTATTAATGTTAAAATATGTTTATTTTTTGTGCTGCATCAGTACATAAGAATGCATTAGTTTTTAAATTGTTTTGTATTAATTTCAATGAGTGAAATAATAGGTTTATTAAATTATGAATGTAGTATTTACCCTCTCATTGCATGACTATATATGCGGATCTGATTTTCAAGAAAAGATAGTTGCAATGTTGGCATAGGTGGTCGGTGGTAGCATATGCTAATAGTGGTGGTGGTAGAGTTTGGGTTTGACTTCATTAAATTTGTGAATTAGTGTAAAATAGATAGTATTAAGTTGTGAATTTTGTCTATTATACTGTAAATTGACTGTATAAAATTGCATTTTAAATAAATTTTGGGTTAAAAATATAGAATGATGGTATGAATGAAAATATTAGACTAAAAAAAATATGATTTTGCCATTTTCTTAACAAACAGACAAAAATTAAGATTTTAACATATTTAGTAATATTCACAATACATATTACTTATTAAATGTGGGTTCTTAATCTTTTGGGGTTCTCCTTTGAACCACTCCATATATATATATATATATATATATATATATATATATATATATATATATATATATATATATATATATATATATATGAGACGGCTTAATTTTCTAAGACCGTGAGACGCAATCGTAGCCATTCATTTGGTTGATAAAACAAAAAACAATTTTAAAATACAAAATAATTGATTTTTTTTTTCAAATATTATTTTCGGAATTTATATTTTCCAAACAAATACCAAAAAAAATATAAAAATACTGCTTTTTTTTTTTACCTATTCTAGTAGAAAAAATAGAATATCATACATATCTGAGAAATCTAGTATACTATTTTAACATTCTAAAATTCAAATTATAATATTTACAGTGTAATATTCTATTAAAATATTTCACCTATTAAAAAAACGGTAATTTTTTTATGAAAAAACATCATAAATGGTCCCTGTGGTTTC